ACAGCAGCAGCAGCAGCAGCAGCAACAGTTTCAGCAGCAGCAACAGCAGCAGCAGCAGCAGCAGCACTAGGTGGCTTCCAGTTAGTGAGGGCAGCACCAGAGCAGCTACTGTCTCCCCATGGTCTCGGGCGAATCCGCGAGAGACACAACGCACCGCTGCTGCTGCTGCTGCTGCTGCTGCTGCTCCTGCTGCTGCTGCTGCTGCTGCTGCTGAGAGGGTTCTGCTCGAGACAGACCGCCCCGCCAGGCTGCTCTCCTCGTTGCTGCCAGCAGGGGTCTTCCCTGCAGCAGAAGCAAATAGGAGACCTGGTTCATCAGCAACAACAGCAGCAGCAGCAGCAGCAGCAGCAGCTGCTGCTGCTGCTGCAGCAGAGGAAGCTGTAACTTCTCTAGGCGACGGGGGCCCCACCTGGTGGGGCCTAGATAGAAGACTGGAGAGCAGCAGCAGCCACAGAAGCAGCAGCAGCAGCAGCAGCAGCAACAGCAGCTATGGCAGCCCCAGAGAAGACAGCAGCAGCGGCCACATGACGGAGGCCTACGACTTTCTATCTGATGATGCACAACAGCAGCAGCAACAGCAGCAGCAGCAGCAGCAGCAGCAACAGCAACAGCAGCAGCAGCAGCGGAGGCGGCAGCAAGGATACCTGCTTGAGCAGCAACTCCACAGCAGCAGCACACCGCTGGCCGGTAGTTGTTTTGCTGATCCTGTCACCACCCACAGCAGCAGCAGCAGCAGCAGCAACAGCAGCAGCAGCAGCGACGCCGGCGCTCTGAACACCAGCAGCAGCAGCAGCAGCAGCAGCAGCCGCCAGTGGGGGTTTTTGTGGCTGAGGCGGCTGCTGCGCTCTTCTGCTGCTCTGCTGCCCCCTGGGTTGTATGGCGGGGGCCCCTCCATGGGGGCCTCACCCGTGCTGCATGAAGCTGCGACGCCTTCCATAGCAGCAGCAGCAGCAGCAGCTGCTGCTGCTGCTGCAGCAGCAGCAGCAGCAGCAGAAAAAATACCAGAGCAGACGCCGCACACCCCAGCAGCAGCCCAGCCGAAGGGCCTCAGTGAAGGGGCTGTAGCTTTGCCCAGCTCCCCACCAGAGGAGACTGCTGCTGCTGC